GACAAAACGAAGATGGAAACCATCCATTACTTTTCAAACAGGCCTGTGTGCTACATTGTATTTTGTGAGATGACACATGGGAACATGGTCATGACAAGGCTCTCACGGAAATTCGAAAACCTAATTCAAGAGCTTTTCAGGACTAAAGATACAACAATTTCCATGACATTCAGTGCCATCTTGCAAAAAAAGTTGTTTGGTATTATAACCTGGAAGGCTGTATGGTCATTACTACAGACCAACAAGGATTGAGAATTAAAATTGACTGTATCATTCCATTATTGCATTAAAGTTCCCGATATGGATGTGGTACGTGTTAAATATTTCAAAGTGCTTTTTCTCCAAATGGCACTTCCACCAACACCTTTAGGTGCCAGTCTGTGAAAGCCCAAATCATTCTAGTGTACGTTGGTCTTTGCAGCGCTCGGGCACACCCATATTAGTTCCAGACACCAAAATTATCCATTAAACTGTTCCCACCAAGGGTACACACAAAGCAAGTGGGATTCAGTCCATGTAAAACGACGGCAAAATAAAGTTTTCCCAGAAATAAGGCAGTTCGGACGGTTCCGGTCATACCTGCTGCTTCAGGATAGCTTGGTAAGATTTGGGGTCGTTCAGACTTCTTGGACTCAAGTTGGTGTCCCCGACAAAGTTCTTGATGGAGCTCTCCCCACGAATCTGGGCCGCTCTGACACAGAGAAATAATTAATTGACAATTCAAGGGTAATTGAGACTAAAAAGAAAATTTGTTCAGACATCCAGCAACAAATTAAAATACACAAAGTCCGCTGTATGGCATATACATGTATTTGCATCCTCCTGGTCCAAAGTTTTATCTTGACAGAAACGTTGAAATAAATTTGCCACATTAATTCTGTTTAGAAAAACAAATTATCAGGAGTACTCGAGTTAATAGCTTGTAAAACAATTTTAAACACAAGAAGAACAGATTCAACCAACAAGAAAAGTCTCTGATAAAAATGACAGGGACTTAAAGTAAAGAATTATCAAAGGTAATGCTGGCTCCCCCCCACCAGCATCATCTTATTATCAAGAAATATGGGTCTTTATTAAACAGGAGTATGATTGGCCACGTAAAAATCAAAGCTTGCAAACAGGTGAAAGGTAAAAAAGTTCTCATACTTTTGTACAAACTAGGTGTACGAAAAAGCTGAAATTTAACAATCTCAACCAAAGGTCAACATTGCAACCCCAAAAAAAAGAAATCAGCTAAAAAGCTACATTCTCACACCCGAGTAAAAACGAGAGCTTAAAAGACATACAATATATCGTAATTACAACTTCTGGAAAATAAATGTTTTCTTACTTGGAAGCATTCATGAGGGACAGGTTTTCTTGAGGGGCACTGCTTGCTGGCACACCAACCTTTCCAACTCCTGGAAGGGCACCATACGGCGAGGGGTACAACGGATGTAATGGGAACGGTTGTTGCATCAAGCGATTGGCAAAGTCGGCTGGAGAACACAGTGAAACATAGAAGCTCATGGTTACACAGCTGAAAGACTGAAGTCACGTAATGGTTAGCAGAGTGAGGAAACAGACTATTTTGATGCCAGTGCTGAAGGTAATGCACTGCAGTCCAAATACAAGACCGGTGCTTGACGATGTCCTACACCACAAAAAAGTGCAAGAAATGAGGACCCAATTGAAATGCTTCACTGTGGTCAAATTTTCAGAAATAACAAAACAACAGGTTGTCACAAGGGGAACAGCATAGATTTTCTGGCCTTCCCAAAGGCTAATCTTCACAAGGGTGAAGGTGCCTACAACAGAACTAGACATAAGGAACACAATCCACTCTGTGTGCATGCCAGGAGTTGAACTGTTCAGGAAAGTGAAAAACTCCTTTGGAAAAAACTGTTTCAAATGAAAAAAAAAGAAATACTACTTAACAGAGAAATTGAAACAAAACACGGTCAGAAACAAATATCAGAATACAGAGCACAACTTGACAAGAACACGGAAAGCTAGGGTAAAGGGGAAATCAAGTTTACAAAACAGAAATGTTTGTCTTACCAAGTGAAAACAAAATCCATGTTGATTAAAACCGTGACGCATATGGGCAAAAAAACAAAACAAAGAAATACCACTTTCATGAGCAAAACTTTCTGAGACACTACAGGATACAGTGTGCCACAGCTCAGGCAGGGACCTAAAAAATTATACTGTGGTCAAAGGAACGCCACAGCCTAGCCACAGAAATGATGGGTGTAAAATCATCACGGTAAAGCTTGAATCATTCTGACAGAAATCCTGGTTTTAGAACACTGCAAATGTGTCAAGCCACAGAGGAAGTCAAGAATTAGTACATGAGTCTTTTATCACAAATAGCTGCAAAATGAAAACAAAAATTGATAAGGACGGCAAATAGTACACCATGACACTTCAATTGCACAACTTAAGACCATATCTCAAACATAAAAATGTCCACTGTTGATAAAACTTTATAACAACCTTAAAACTTAAATCCTAACTGTACCTTGGGAAACTCCAAAGTTCCTTTGAAAGGCAAGATCTTTGGTATTATTTGAACCTCAAGAATTAATCTGGGGGCACGCCAGGGCAGGATTGGAGTCAAGGGGCGGCCATATTGAGAAGTGCTCAGAATGAAAAGGTTTTCAGGGAAGGAGTGAGAGACAGTGCTCCCAAGATGTTTACATGGACTTTTGAGTGAATGAATTTGATCACAGCATGCAATGATTGGGTTTGGATAGGGCTTCAAAGGTACAGATTCTGTTGGGGTGGGGTTAGTTGGGAGGGGGTAGTGGGACACTGGGGGATGTACAGTATTGGGTTTGGAAGATACATGCAGGGTTGCTTGAGGGGCAGGGGTTGGACAACGGGAAGGGACTTCCAGGAATGGGGGGCACAGGGTATCATCATTTGGACTTGGAAGGTTGAGTTACAGTAGGTTAGGATAAGGTGGGGGCGATGAAGTTCAGAAGGGAACACTGGGTGTCACCATTTGGGCTTGGAAGGTTGAGTTACTCTAGCAAGGGATGGGGGGGCGATGAAGTTCAGAAGGGAACACTGGGTGTCACCATTTGGGTTTGGAAGGTCAAGTTACTCTAGGAAGGGATGGGGGGACGATGAAGTTCAGAAGGGAACACTGGGTGTCACCATTTGGGTTTGGAAGGTCGAGTTACTCTAGCAAGGGATGGGGGGGCGAT